CCCCAAAACCCCAAAATCCCAAAACCCCAAAACCCCAAAACCCCAAAACCCCAAAACCCCAAGCCAAGGAAACAGTATAGAAATTCTAATAGTTTAAACATTCAATTTTGAGTTATTCAGAGATTTGAGAGATGTAATGTCATTTTTCTTATCTCTCAGCCTCGATCTTATACCTTGCTTGCCGATCTTGCTAGATAATCCTTTTACAGCTAGATCTCTCTTTTCCTTGTCACTCAGAATGTTCTTGATCTTATGATGGTTAGGAGACCTATGTCTTTAGACAGAAAGATTACCTGTATTGGGCATTATTGGAACCCTTCTCAATACTCATCTTATGTGAGTTCAAAATCCTGCTTAACTGTCTTGAAATAGCTGGAATTGAGCCTAAGTCAGACGACTTGTTCGACTTAGAGAGCGAGGAATTTTTCAATTTGTATCTTTTCAATGACTTCATGTACTGATTATGATTTTTCTTCTTCAAGCTCATTATAGATCTCTTTCTGTTACTAATCAGAGAGATCCCTGGACTTCTCGATAACTTCGGTAGAACAACTGACTTCTCCTTCGGATATCCAGGTGAGGGTTCATTTCTAGTATTCTTCTTCTCTTGAAGTGACCTATTCCTTCCTTCAATATTAGACTGCTTATAGCTAGGATTTTCGTACTGATTTTTCAAGTTTCTTCTTAACTTGTTAGAGTACTTATTTTGAGAATAGGCATTCTGAGGCTTGTTAAAGATATTATAAGCATCCAACATCTTTTGTATATACGAGTTATTGGAAATACTGCTTGATTTCCCACTGATGCGGTGATAGTTGTTTGAAGGAACATTGTGTTCGTATAACTTGAGGGCTATGTGCTCTCTAAGATTTTTAATAAGCTTCTTAGATTTTGAGCCTTCCTCACCTCTATCAGATGAAACAAGCCCTTTGTCTTTATCAAGACTTATCTGTGAGTCATTTCTGTTCAGCTTTCTTTTAGCTGAGAGTTGTTCCTGAGAGTCATTTTTATGCAAGACCTTGCTTTGGTTACCGATAATTCTCTTATTTTTATTTTCCATCATTCTCCTCGTTGGAGAATCGTTTTCGTTTCTCATAATAAACTCAGATGGCTTGAGTGCCTTTTTGACAACATTTTCGCTCTTAATATTCTTAGAATGTTTAGATTTATTCTCTTTAGTTCGATAATCAGAGCTGACCCGGCTCTCCCTGTCATTAATACCATCACCTTTATAATTCTGGTTTTGTTTTCTGTCGTTATTACTATCGCTATAGATATGATCTTTAGCTCTAGACTTCTCAAGAGAGGAGGGGTCTTTTCCAGATTCAGCATCCCCTTTCTTTTTCGGACTCAAAGAGATCTTAGGATTGTCACCCTCTTCGTCTTTCTTCTTGTTAGATATGATACTTGCAGCACTCCCATTCTTCCTAATAATTGAGCCTACAGCCTTTTTGACCCTCCCTTTATTAGAGAGGTATGGAGATTTAAGATTTTTGCTATTGATTTTCTTAGAATTTGGGGTATCCTTTTCATCCCTTGTTACAAGTTCAGAAGTATCTGTTACTTCTCCGTATGAATTTTTGAAGTTTTGTTTATTTCTTAATAACGTCATTCATTAGCATGTTTGCTTCAGTGCTTGTGTAAGCTGGAGCAGGGAGCCTGTACATGAAATTACTAGAATCGCTGAAGGGCTGGATGGTCTTTAGCAGCACACTCTCATCTTTAAACTCCTCTAGGCCTAACCTCTTAATTTTCTTAAGTATTATCGGATGCGATAGTAGTTGATCACAAGAGGGCCTATTCTTAGGTCTCACTTGAAGTAAACCTTTAATCACCATGTTTATATCCTGAGAAAATTTATTTAGGAATTTTTGGATAAGTTCCTTTGATAACCTTATCATATAACCCTTGCATATCTGATGCCTTGAAAGGAGGTCTAAGAGTAATTGCTTCGTAGAGGACACATCCTAACGACCAAATGTCACTTTTGAAATCATAGGGCTTATCTTTCCAGACCTCAGGACTGGCATAGTAAGGAGTTCCTGTTTGAGTATAATTCAGGCCCTGTTTGTCAGCCATCCTCGATACATTCATATCTCCTAGTTTTGCGATACAGTCATCAGTTAGGAAAATATTGGCACTCTTCAAATCTCTGTGCATGATGTTCAGGTCGTGTAGAGATTTCAAACCTCTCGTAATTTGTATGAATATTTGCCAAATTTCAGCTTCTTTCATATATTCTTTCTTATTTAGTTTGTTCTAAAATTCTTTGGTACAGATCTTTGTTATTTGCAAACTCCATGATAATTCAAAGATAGTTGCCCTCTTTTTCATTGATAATAAAGGCTTCTTTGTACGAAATGACGTTTTTGTTCTGGCAAGATGCAAGTATTCTTACTTCGTTCAGAGCATTCTCACGTTCCTTTTCGGATAAGTTGAATATATTCACTACAAATCTTAATGGTAATATTTACCTTTATTTAAGAGCATAATACTCTCCATCTTCGATTCTTTTTACCTTGTAGACAGAGCTGTAGGCACCATCACCAAGTTTCTCTGTGATCTTGAAGTCTTCAAGGCTAGACATTTTATTTAGGGTTATTCAATATTATAAGAATGGTTTGGGGTTTTGGGGTTTTGGGGTTTTGGGGTTTTGGGGTTTTGGGG